TCCCAAACCCAAATCCTGCAGCCGTTCCTCATAGGTTTTAGTCTCCAGGGCTTTGATCATCTTAGTTGCCCTTCTCTGAACTTTTTAAAAAATGCACAAAGTCCATTTTAAACGAGGTAGAAGGAGTTTGAACTTTTGTTTGTTTAAAAAAAAATGGGGGAGATTGTGAAACCGAGGGATTCAGTGTTTTCTGGGTAGTATTATGCTAGCTGTAACGAGAGCTTTTTTTTTTTACATTTTTAAATTTTTAAAAAAATACAAATAGTACAAACATAGTAAATACAAAAAAAAGAAAGAAAAAAGAAAAAGGAAAAAAAAAATTACAGTACACCCCCACCGCCCCAAAGACTTCCCCCCCTTTTATATTTCTTCTTCTATAACAACTAAAATATATACAATATATTCCAATTGTGCCCTTATCCCCTCCAAAACAACATATATTCCTGAGTAGGTTTATTCCAGTGGTGGGTTGCAGGCGGTACGCCCCGGTACGGGTGTACCAGAGCCTGCCCGGAGCACCGGGTACCATTCCAGTGCGGTGCTCCAGAGGGCCTACCCGCCCACCTGTGTGCCTTACCTGTCTTTAAACTCTTTGGTGCTTCCGGCCACGGCGCATACAGCGCCTGTGCGACGCTCCGCCAAGCAGCTGGAGTGTCGCAGAGGCTCACAGAGGCGTCACTGGATGGTAAGATGAATGCGCGCTGTGCATGCGTTCATGTGGAGGATGTCGGGCCCCGTTGCAACTGTACCGGATCCGGACCCCACCACTGGTTTATTCCCTTTGCCTTCCACCAACACCGATTTTATAAAATCCCCCCATATTTCATTAAAATCATTTGCTTTGATCATCCTTATATAAGAATATGTCAGAGTTAAGGAAAATGGATATAAAGTAATATGGAGGTGGTACTTAATACCATGTAAATTAAATTAAAATAGATGGTAAATATACAAATATTTGTTGGAGGTGCAAGAAAGAAGTTGGAACATATAAACATGTATGGTGGGATTGTGACAGTGCACAAAAACAGGTGGGACATGGTGTTTAGAGAAATTAGAGCACCTTTGAATGTAAATTTAGACATGTCACCGAGAATTGCATTACTGTTGCTGGTGGAAAAACGGGATATAAATGAAACAAAAAAGGAATTGATTGTAAATTTGATAATGGAAGTTAGATTAGTGATGGCTAAATATTGGGAATGAAATTGGGATATTGAAAGAAATGAGTGGTATAATGAAATTTGGAGTATGGCAACAAATGATATATTAACAACAGTAAAAAGAGCTTTTATGGACCAGTGAGTCTTATATGTCAAAAGGCAGAATTAAGTCTGGAAATCCACAGACCTTAGCAAATTTCCAACTTGCCCCCAATGCTCTTCTATGAATAGCACAGTAGCATATATCTGGCCTTCTGCATTGTATGATGCATTTAAAAACCTAGTTCCAATTTGGCTTCAGAACGCCAAAAGAGTTATTTCCTTCAGCAAGATGTGAGAGCCAGTTTGGCCTAATGGTTAAAGCACCAGGCTAGAAAGTGGGAGATCATGAGTTCAAGCCCTGCCTTAGATATGAAAGCCAATTGGGGGATTTTGGCCCACATTCAGCCCAACCCACTACACAGGATTGTTGTTATGGGGAAATTAGAAGGAGGAAGTTGGACATGTGTGCTGCCTTGAGTTATAGTAAAGGCGGGGTACAAATAAATAAAATGCAAATATGAGAGCATTATAACTGGACTGGGGGGGTGGGGGGAAGATTTTGGTAAGAATCCAGTTGATGAGACAAACCGTCTCTGCTTTTTCTATTTTGATCATAGATTTCAACTCTGAAGGATAATGAAGTTGCTATTTCAAGAATAGAATACGATAGAAAATATGGAATGGAATGGAATATAGAATNTTTTTTTTTTAAGTGTTTGCACTCTGCAGGCCTCCCAAACCCCCTGCATGCCTCATTTTTGCAAAATAAAGAGGGGGATGCAGAGGGTTTGGAAAGCTCTTAGAGTGCTCCTGGGGGCTGGGTGGGCAAAAATGAGCAAAAACGTCCTATTTTTTGCTGATTTTTGCCCTCCCCAGCCCCCAGGAGGACTTTGCAAGCCTCCCAAACCCTCTGCACGTCCATTTTTGCATAGGGGGCGGGATTTTGGTGGGCCAAAAATGCTGTATTCAGTGTATAAGACGCACCCAGATTTTCACTCTCTTTTTTGGGGGGAAAGGTGCGTCTTATACTGCAAAAAATAAGGAGTGTAACCCACTTGTGATCCTAAGGCTGGTATTCTTTTTCTAAATTATTCTGTAACCTATATTCCTTTGACAGATTCCAATGGGATGCTATATTCTGTATTGTCATGCCTCCATTTCCTAAATAATGCACTCTGGCCATGCACTCTATACTTCTTGGAGGTTTTTTTTTGTTATTAATGAAAATATTCTTTAACAAAATAATAGTAATCAAAATGAAATGCAAACAAAAAAAAATGCCACCAGATGCCCAAAATGTGTAAACCTGAGAATAGAAACAACAGTCCATTTGAAACAGAGCCAGCCTGCCTGGAGCTTTGAAGTTTCTAGTGGCAAAACAAATAATGTCACAGCAGCTCTCTCTGGGGAAGGGGGATTTGGCCTGCTTTAACAAGTAATAATATCCATTTCTGAAGGGTTCAATCTCTGGCCAATGACTCAGGCTTTCCTCAAATTAACTCAAATGCTTCCATGTGTTGGCATTTCCTTTAGAGATGCTTTGCAAAATTCTCTCCCCTTCCCTTCCCCCAAATCCTTGGAGTTCAGACTGCTGCTTTTTTTTTCTGCACACAAAAATGGACATGAAGCACAGAGAAAACAGTTTCAGCTCCATCATCTCAGTTTCATCACTGGTCCTTGGAGAAACTAGCTGAAAAAATAATACTAATTAAAATAACGCAGAAACAGAAAGTTTGGCACTCTGGCAATGGGCAAACTGGGATGAATAGGCAGTTTGTTTGTTTGACCAATTCATATAGCCATCTATCTCAGTACATGGTTTTGGGCAGCTCACAATTTTAAAACAAATGCTGTGTATACAAATAGAAAATAACAAAGAGAAATAAAACAAAGTATAAAAGCCATCAGCATAACCAGGAAATGAGCTCCATCACACATCAAGGACCAGGGGTGGGATTGAAAATTTTTAGCAATCAGTTCTCTGCCTGGTTGGTGGGTGGGCGTGGCTCCTTGGCCTCCTGCACCACAGCAGGGGAGGTGTTTTCACCCAGCCCAAGCACCAGAGGCTTTCCTCGAGCCTCCAGGAGGGCAAAAATGGCCTCCCCCAGACCCATTTCCAGACTTCCAGGAGTCCCGTTTTTCACTGTCTCAGAGCCTCCGTATGGGCCATGCACTTACCTGGCATCCACAATGGCCGTGTGGAGACTCCTGGGAGGGGTGGAGCAGTGTGGGCAGGGCCAGCCAGTCCTTTCAATTACCGGTTCAGCGAACCAGATGTAAAATTAGTATCCGGTTCACCCAAACTGGTCCGAACCGGCTGAATCCCACCCTTGCCGAGGACACCAAGCTTGACCATGGAACCAATCCTCCAAGGCCCTTCAGAAGGCCACAGTGAGGTGGCCAACCTTATCTCTGTAGGAATGATGTTCCAGAAGGTTGGGGCCATGGCAGACAAGGCTCTTTTCCTCAGTCCCACAGTTGATACTTCTTGGCTTGACTGTTCTCCAGTCAGATTGGTGCTGTAGGTAACCCAGTCCCAAGCCACATAGGGCTTTAAAGCTGACACCAGCACCTTGAACTGAACCTGGAAGCAATCTGGTAACCAATGCAGCTCACAAATGTGTCACATGAGGCAAATAACTGATGCCATTAACTGTCCATGCCAGTGACATTGCATCAGCTGAAGCTTCAAATTCTCTTCAAAGGCAACTCCAGCAGGTTACCATAGACCAATCAAGAGGCTACAAGGCCATGAGCAACTGTACACAGGGCCTTATGCATACAATATGCATGCAACTGATGTATAACATAATCGCCCTGAAAGTTTTTTCTGAAAGGATAACAAGCTATGAATTAATTGTAAATGTTTTATTTTATCGCCTGAGAGGGGAAGTAGCACTGTTAGCTTTTATAGAGGGTGACAAAATAACTTGATCCAGCTTCATATTTTCTATTATTTTGGGATACAGTTGGGCTCTGCATCATGCAACAAAATGACTTTGGGTCTCTCTAGAACAAGGATGAGCAATTAACTTTTGTAAGGGGCCACATGAGAAACTGAGACTGTTGTGGTGGGCCGAGCCAATGTAAACTGACTTGATGTCCTCAAACTCTACTACCTCAATTCCAGAGGCGGCTCCAGGTGAGGAGTGCTGTGCAGAAGCAGAAAAGCACTTTCTCTTCTTGCCTTCCCACCACTGCCAGTTGACTGAAGGAGCACATGGTGACTGTGCAGAGCCGAACCCAATCAGCTTCTTCTCCTGCTCTCTGTGGCATGCTTATTTACATTTGATTTCTAATTTCCAATTGACCTCAAATGGGGCAGACAGGAACAGCCAAAGGGCCAAATGTGGCCCGAGGGCCATAAAATGCCTAAGTCTGTACACCCCAAGAAAGAATACATACAGAAACCATGACACTGACAATGATCTAATAACAGATAAGAAGAAAAAATAACAGCTATATTGCAACCTTACAGTATATCCTATTCATATCCATTCAAAAGTTCAACATAAATATATGTGCATGGAAATGATCTTTTTAAAACAGTTTGGAATCTATTGCCCTTGGGTCAGAACTCTTTGGGTTCTCTTATATAGGACTTGTCCTTGATTAATGTCCAATGTTTGGAATTACTTCTGTCTATGAAATTCGTATTGCATGCATGAATAAGACTGTTGCAACCGATCATCAGTCTTTCAGTTTCCAAAATGTGAAGTTAATTACAGTCAAGACAGATTAGTGATGTCAGAAATATCCCAAAAACAGATGCTCCGGGACTGTGTGCGGTCCTTGGGTGGGGTAACAAATTATATATTAGTTGAAGGACTAATTTGATCTCACTTTTTAAAGATGTACATACTTTTCCTGGGTGGAAACCTACACATTTTGGACGGTGTTCCCAACAGAACATTCTAGCTTGGTGTACTGCTCTCATGTTCAGAAGCGACTTGCCAATAATAATTTCAGTCCTTTCCCCTCCAGCCACGTCTCTCATACATACTGGAGAAAGGTTCACTAGAACTTGGCAAAAGTTCTTTGTAATTCCTTTACAAAACCTGCTGAGCAGCATCACTGTTGGAATAGCCCAACACCCTCCCCAAACAGGTTTCCTAAGTCCCACCATTACTCAGGTTTTAAAGAATTTTCACACATATAGAATTATTGTTTCCCACTACATGCAGATCTTTGTTAAAGCAGACACAAAAGCATGGAGTTGAGAAAGACGGTTCATGCCACTGTCTCCCTCTGTGCTGGAATTACAAACCAAATATTCAAACTACTTGAACCCTCATGAATAATTGAGTCTGCTGTCAAACTACTCTTTATTCTTATGATTTTATTTCTTAATAGTCAATCAAAATGTGTCGTGCTGTATTTTCAGAAATGCATTCTTCTATAGTCTAGGATGTTAGAGATACATACCATATTTAAAAGGATGGAGAAAGAGTATATATGATTGCAATCAAAATTGTCACTCTTTTCTATTATCCAGTCTTTTTTTCTTCATCATCAAAATCATAAGTGCATTAATTTCTATTTTATGCAAAAAGTCCATACAGTGTTTTCACTTGTCTGTTTGTCTGTCTGCCTATGTATCTATTATCTATCTATCTATCTATGTTATTGTTCAGTTGTTAGGTTGTGTCTGACTCCTTGCAACCCCATAGATCATAGCACACCAGACTCCCTCCCCCAGACTCCACTGTATCCCGGAGTTTGCCCAAATTTACAGTGTCATTGTGTCAATGACACTGTCTAATCATCTCATCCTCTGCCATTCCCTTTTGCCTTCAATCTTTCCCAATAACAGGGTCTTTTCCAATGAGTCCTCACTTCTTATTTGTTGGCCTACTTTACTATCTGGCCTTTCAAAGAACAGTCAGGGTTGATTTCCTTTAAGGTAAAGGTAAAGTTTCCCCTCACACATATGTNATCTTTTGATAAGCAAAGTCAATGAGGACTTTGATGGTTCACTTAACAGCTGGGCTAATGACTTATTAACTGCAGTGATGGTTTACAAATGGTCACTAAGGGAATGGTGGTAAGTTGAGGACTACCTCTACTTGCCTGCCCAGAGAGCTATCAACATTTTCCAGATCGTGAATAGGTTCCAGGGTCTTCATATCAATGATTTCCATATCCAATGATTAGAATTTTGAGGGGGGGGGGAAATGTAAAACTTTATACCAGATACGCTTGGAGTAGACATTCATTTCTTGCGTTTCTCTCTCTTTTCTCTCTCTCTTCCCCACTCCCCAGTCTGCAGAATTCTTTGAAATGCTTGAAAAAATGCAGGTAAGTGAAACAGCATTTGTCTTCTAACTCAGTGGTCTTCAATCTTTCTAGCTTGGTGCGGGTGCGTGGGTGTGAGTGGCAGGCACACACCCACGCGAGCACAGCTGCATTTGTGGGATCAGAGGGCATGCACGCCCTCCCCTCGCATGAACGGAGCTTGGTGCGCGAGCGGGGAGTTCTCGTCCTTGTGTGCGAAGCTGTACATGTACAAGCAAGAGGGCACTTGAGCAAAGGGTGCTTGTGCTCACAGGTGAAACTCCACTTTTGCATGAATGGATCTTTGCACGCCAGTGCAAGCACGCTTCGCATGAATGGAGCTTCGCACCCGTGCGTGCATGTTTGCCCACCACTCAGGCAAGTGGAGCTTCGTGCACGTGTGCTTGCCCATCTCTCCCACGGCAAAGGGTGGGATCCTGTTGGTTTAACAACCGGTCAGTGATTGCATGCTCCGCGTGTGTCTGCGGTTTTAACAAAACTTACCTTCCACGTTACTTCTGGGGAGTAACACAGCTGAAGCATAGCAATTTCCTCTGCTGCACAAATCAGCTGAGAGGATATAGATAAGTAAAGCACAAGGGTGGACGGGTCCGCCCAATTGATTGTCGGAGCAAACCGGTTCGCTATCCAGCTGATTGTCGGAACGAACCGGTTCGCTAACCAGCTGATTGTCGGAGCTACTGGTTTGCCTGAAACGGTCCAAACCGGCTGAATCCCACCTCTGCCCACAGCCTGGCTTCGAACAGGTGGCAGGCCAATAGTGGGCCATGATCTGGGGGTTGGGGACCTCTGTTCTAACTAGATTCTTACACTTTCCCTGAGAAGGGGAATTAGATGTTTTGGAGAGTTGAGGCGATCAACATATGCTGTTCTTGAGAGCCTAAAAAACAGCATGCCTTAAATATCCGGTGTCTTCACTGTCTCAGGGGTATGTCCTATTTCTCTCTCCCTCCACCCTCCCATTCCAACACCGTGCCATGGTCGTGCCGTGATCGCCTCCAGGCATGTCAAATGTGTTAAGCTTTGTCACCTGAAGAAAATAGAAAATAAGTGTTGTTTGGAGTTTTGCTTTAATAATTTCTTGTGCTTCTGCAAGATTTAAGATGGCAAGGGGTCCGGTTGCTTGAAGGACAGCCTTTTCCCAGTTTCACTTACCTGACCAGGAGCACGGTGGCTCGCGTGGTTAGGAACGCTGGGTAGGTGGTTAGCAAGCCCACATTCGAGACCTGTGTGCTGGCGTGGGGGCAGGGTTGAGCTCCCTTCTTTTGCTCTAGGCTCCTGCTGGGGGCATGAAAGATGCCCCCAAATGGGTGCCCCTAGGGATGGGATTCATTTACCTTCACTATCAGTTCACAAATGTGAGCGTGCTTGCGCACATGCTTGCTACACTCACCCACACCACCTTTTGCGCATGTGCACCACATGTGCAGAAGGTCGTGCATTATGCTGGGGCGGGTGGGCAGAGCCAGAGATGGGTTCCTACCGGTTCGCACAAGTGAACCGGCAGTAAAGCTGGCCGGAACCCACCCCTCGGCAGAGCCTCCAGCAGCTGCAGCTACCTGTTCGCCTGAACTGGTAAGAACTGCCGGAATACCACCACAGCAGTGGTGGGTTTCAGCCAGTTCGCACCTATCCGGGAGAACTGGTTCTTAATTTTCTAAGAGGTTCAGAGAACCAGTTGTTGGAAGAAATCTTCTTTTGGGTTTTTTTCCGCTTTACAGGGCTAATCCTGTAAGGAAGGCAGGAAGGAAACATTCTGGTGTTGTTTCTAGCCTGATCTTTATTGACCTGCTTACGGAAAATGCCTCTCCTGTTAACCCTCATTACATTGTAACAGCTAAGGGGAAGTGCCCATCAACCTGAGTAACATTGAGTTAGCCACGCCCACATGGTCACATGACCACCAAGCCCCACCTACCCAGCTGGCCATCAGGGCAGAGAACT